AATTACAGCTTTGAGAAAGTTTCTCTTCGAATTCCTTTCTCGATCTCTTCAGTTTTTCTTCGAATTGGATTTTGCAAACTAATTACAGCTTTGATATCTCTTTCTCTTTTTACTGGTTGAGCCACATAAGCATTAATCCATTCGAGCAGGGCAGTTTTTGATAGGAAACTTACCTCGAGCAGGAGGTGAGTCGGCCGTTCTTTACGGCGGCGATTGCTGCTTGCGATGGCGACTGGCGACGATGGCGACTAGCTAGGCGACTGCTGCTTGCGAGAAGCGACGATGGCGATGGCTCTCTGCTTGCGGCGGCTCTCTGCTTGCGGCGACGGGACGGGAGCGCTGGCGATGGTTGACGGCGCCGCTCTCCCTCTGTCGTTTCGTTTGTTCTGGTCGAAGAACGGGAGAAAGAAAAGGAAAGGTAGGGTTTTCAGTTTTGTTTGGCTGGCGGCTGCCCAATTCCAAATTTTTTTTTTTAGGGTTAATTAAACGGCCGAACCGAGCGACCGGCTCGAGCGGTTAACCGCTTCGGCCGCTGTATTAAACCGTGGCGGTTAAATAGTTGATCCGAGCCGGTTTTGCCGCCGGGTGGCGGCTTTGGCTGTCCGGCCGGCCGGCTCGGTTCGGCTTTGACAGCACTGGTAAATCTACCCGTCGATCGATGTCAGCGTGCTTGCTTTTCCCAGGCTCAAGTTGGACCTCTCAGCATGTCGCATTCCATTACTTGTATGTGGGATGGGGGCAACAAGCTCTGGGTCTCACTTGACCGGAGGGATTGTGATTAAAGACTTCACAGGATATCCTTCTGGTACGAGGAGTGCAGTTTCCTGATATTGATGACCCTTTGGTGGCTGAGGTGTTTGTTGTTCGGGATGTGGTAGTATGGTGTCTGGAATTGGGATTTCTAGAGACTTGCTTCCAAGGTGATGCCCATATTATTATTGATAAAATCAATCGTTGGGACGCGGGGGATAATCGGATTGGGCTTGTTCTTGAGGAGCTCACCCCGGGGTGTTTTCATTTCATACTGCGCTTAATGTTCGCTTTGTATGTCGGAGTAGCAATAGGGTAGCCATTTGGTAGCTCGAAAGGCCCTCAGTTTGTACCCAACTACATGTCGATTTTTTTATTTTCAAGCCTGGTTGATGTCCAGGATGTAACTATCTTTTGATCAAATTAAAATAGTGGATTATCTTTTGTCAAAAAAAAAAAGTGGTTAGAAATTGGTTAGTACAAAAGCAACACTGCATACAAACCAATGACTCCCTTAAATTTCATATTTTATGCCTAAGCCTAACAATAGAAAGCAACTCCAACTATATTTTATGCCTAAGCCTAACCTTTTGAGTTATGTTTTTTTTTTCTTTCGATCCACCGATTTCAAACAAAAGTTAGAAAGGATCAGTAAGGTCCATATAGTTCATGTCTCTTATAAGAAAATGGTTAAAATTCATAGATAAACATTTTCGATATAGCTCTCTCTAAACTTTTAGAACTTGTCCCTTCTCTCTAAACTTTTTCATAAGTCTCATCAAGCATACTATTGTCTGCGTTTCAAGCTCTCGGCGGTAGCCCCTAAATTTTTTCTTTTATCTTGCTTAGTCCTGCCTACTTCAATTTTCATTGCTTCCTATATGGAGCTTTTCACGCCTCCTCCATTATAGGTGCTTCTCTTTCATTCTCAAATTTGATTTTCTAGACCTTCTTTGAGATGTTTTGTAGATCATAAAGGGGGTTGAGGTCTTCCTCAATCTACCTTCTCCTTCATGTTTGTGTGCCTCCTCCTTGCTTCACTGCTGCGGTGTATGGTGAGACTTGAGGATCCTATTGCAGTTCTCACATGATTTCAGTTTCATGGAGCTCAAAGGCGAGGTTTATTCAACTTGGGCTCCTTTTCATTTGTCCTTCTGCATGTGCTTTTGTTATGGAGGATGTGCCTCTCTTGGATCATGTTGGTTTTGGGGTTCGGAAGGCTATAGGCTTGGTCACACATCGCTTCTCATCGTTTGTCGTCTTGCTGCACTCCTCCAGCCGCTGGTGGTTTTAAGGGAGTCTCCCATGTGCGACTCCTCCTCCTCTCGTTGGATGAGAGATTAATGAGTTTGGGTTACTTGGTAAGGCATGTTTTGTGGCCTCTTTGTGAGATGTTGAGCCTTTCATTTTTGGGGCTATGCTGTTCGACCTTATTTCCAAGTGTTTTACTCCTTGCAAGGGGCTTGGCCCAACATCTGTGTATCTCCTAGATTCATTAAATGAATTTCCAATGACAAAGCACTTTTAACTATTACAAAATTTCATGTGAATTAGACATTTATCGATAAACGTCCAAAAACAAGGTTAATTACACCGTGTGTCACTTAAGTCTATTACTTGTTGCACGGTGACCACCTAAGTGTTTTTTGTTGCAAACTAACCACTTACGTCGAATAAATGTAGCAGCGTCACCATTTTCGTCACTTTACCTAATGGCAGGTACCGAAACATAATTTTTGACGCCATGTCAACTTTTCATGTAAGCTATAAACGTTGAGTCAGACCTGGCCCACTAAAAAGAATGGGCCTCTTACTTGCAAGGCAATTTACGAGCAGAGAACAAGCTCTTCTTAGCGGTTGTTCGTCCTTTACTCTTCTCCAAATCGCAAGTAGCAGCGGCATAAACCTTTCTTTCTCCAAAGAATCGCAAGCAACCAACAACACCTATGTAAGTGAACAGCTATTTGCCGCCATTGAAATTGCTATTTGCCGCCAACTAAAAAAATATCAAATTTTGAATTTTCCTTCCTTTTATTCTATAAATTTGAATTCCAATAACATTTGACTGATTCCAACAAAAACCTCTGTCGTCGAGCCCAGTGCCTCCGTCACCGGCCAACTTCTCCTCGTCCTCAACCGTCGGAAAACATGTAAGTTTAATTTTCCGTCGAAAATGACGGCAGACCGAAAAAATTTTGCGGCTGGTGCGCCGTAGGGCCGAAGGATTTTTCCAACCAGGCATGGAGCCGGCCGAAAAAAATATTTCGGCCTGGCAGTGCACCGGCTGTAAAATTTTTAGGCTTGGTGGCGCACCGACCGCAAAAAGTTTTTCGGCCCGGCGGCGCATCAGCCGCACTTTTCTTTCGGCCCGGCCGGATTTTATTGTAAGCAATTTTTTATTTATTTTATAATTAATTAGTCAATAGAAAATGAATGAGTGATTAAATAATTAAATTAGTTAATAGAAAATTAAATAATTAGTGATTAATTAAAAATTAATGTTAATATTCAGTACACTAGTTAATATAATATTAGCAATTAGTGTTAATATTTATTTAAATTGGTGTATGAATGTTTAATTACTTAAATTAGTTAATAGAAAATTAATAATTAGTGTTAATATTCAGTACATTAGTTAATAGAAAATTAGCAATTAGTGTTAATATTTATTTAAATTGTTGTATGAATGTTTAATTACTTAAATTAGTTAATAGAATATAAATTAATTAGTGATTAATAAAAAATTAGTGTTAATTAATTAGTGTGCATCTAAGTATGATATTGTGTAAATTTGTAGATAATTAGATATGGATGATGCGGGTGGGAGTGAGTTGCCTAGATTCGATGGTAGGAATGTTGATGCATCAACACGACGAAGGTGCCTAAGAAGAATAAGGAGAAGAAGCGCTCTCGACAGATTGGACATCAGTTAGAGGCAGATTTAGGGGAGGATGAGTTAAAGGCTCCTACTATACTTGCTCATTCGGCATCACGGGCGTCTGGTTACCGTGGGAGGAACCAGGGTGCTGCATCGAGGGTGGTCTCGGCTGAGTTTGATGATCAGTATGCTCCTGATGATCAGGACGATACTGATGAGGATATCCAGGTCCCTCCACCCAGGCGTGGACATGGCCGGAACCAGGCCGGGCCGAAAACTTTCTTCCGACGAGCGTCGATTATTTCTGATTCAATACATTTTCTAAAAGTTGGATATGTTGTAGGTAGTGAAACTCCTTTAACAAATATGTATATATGTTGAGTTTTGAATTTTAATTTTTTTTTTTTGGTTGGCGGCAAATAGCATGCCCCTATGTAAACCTTTATTTCTCTTGTGGTAAGCTAACCCGTGCACTTGCAATTATTAAGTTATTCATTCTTTCTTTGTTCCTCTGTTCTCATTTTCTATCATTCTTCGTGTTAGGGAAAGGAGAACAAGTTGCGGGAGAAGATTATGTGTAGATGGAAGGATTGGAGAGGAGAACGATTTTCATTGCGAGGAAAAGGGAAGGGTTGGAGATGAGATATTGTCGAGCAAAATTCTTATTTTGGCTTGAAGGTATGCCGATTTTAGTCTGTTGGGAAAATGTGTTGCTTATACAGTTATACTAGGTGGCGATGCCGCGACTTGTCGTGGGATGGAGATGGCCTATGGGCATGTATTATGTGGTCTGTTATGGTGTTTTATTAGTATTATTAGCCTAAATTTAATTTTTTAGCATTTTGTTAGTAATATTGACTTGACAATATAATATTGACTGAGAAAAGATATATGGCGATCAACATTCAGTTTAAATTTTTTTAAAATTTTTGGCTAATAAATGATATTTACCTAAACCCAAGTAGACCTATTGATTATGGGTAGGGGGATAACGTATATATGGGTTTGAAAGTTTGTAGATGGGTTTGGGTAGGATATGGATATTTACTTGCATAATCTTAATGTGTATGAGTTAGGAATGGAATATGGATACACATTTATTCGAGGTGCAACAACCCTTCGTCCGCCTCCACTATCCACTTCGTCTTCCTCCTTCGCGTCCCTTGGTCCTCGCCGAAATCCATGCAAATCTGGAGATCAACACCAGCCAGAGCTAGCCGCTCTTTCTGCCTTGTTGATGGCCTTGTAATTAAGGGTTTCGCTTGGGAAACTTAAGAATTAGGCTCCGGCGATGCATCCACCACGCCCGCAGCTTCCCCCCTCTGCTCGCGCCTCGCAGTAAGGGTCCTCCAGGTGGTCGATGGCGAGAGCGTCAGGTTGAGGAGATCCCGATTGAATAGGGGGAAATCGGGTGGATCTGGCGGTTGGTGAACGCTTCCTCGGTGGGAATCGCCGCCAAATGCCGTGGAGAAAATGAAATACTCACCCTCGTCTTCCTCGTCGACATCCTAGACTTCTCCATCCTCCAATTCCAATAATCTATTGCCTCCATCTCGTCTCTTTGCTTCTTCTTCGACCTCATCGGCTCTGTATTTGAAATCCCCTTGTTCGTGTCCGTCTCCTAGAAGTTGGCTGCTAGGCTAAAACCGAGTTCATCTTCTGCGTTTGGGCGGCAGCGGTGGAGGGAATAGTTCCGAACAGCGGGATTTGCTTTGGTGGGAGATAATCAGATTGTTTTGAATGAGGAAGAAAGAAAAGGCGGCTATCTCTGGTTGGTGGCTGCCAAATGGAATTCTCCAGAAATCGGTGATTCCAATCTGAAGCTAATCATCATCGTCCCTGAACTCGTCGACAAGATCTCTGGTTTCGATTGCCTTCGATGGGCACAGTTTAGTGGTACTCGAAACTGATCGGTCGGGGAGAGCGAAGCGGAAACAGAGTTGCCAGAGGCAGAGGTGAGCAGAGCAGCACGGCGGCATTGTTCTACTCGTCGGGGACGGGAGGGAAAAGCAAGGGCCTGCTGCCGAGGCCTCTTTGTCTCCCTCGTCTCGTTTGCCAACCAAAGGTAAAGGAGATTGAAAGGAAAGTAGACAGAGGGTTCTTGCCTGGGTTGGTTTTTTTCATTATTATTATTATTATTATTACTTTGTTTTTTTTTTTTGCTAGGTTCTGACTAGATGGTCAAATCTCATGACTCATCAATTTGTTAGTCAACTCAATAACTCTATTTGCCACGTCATAAAAAATCTAACGGAGTTAACGAAATATAACAGAGGCTGACGACCGGTGATTAATGGTGAAACGATTCGTAAAGTTAGTGGCGAATAAGAAATAAAAGTAATTCAGGTGGCAAATGTGAAAGATTTATATAATTTGAGTGATCAAAGGTGTAATTTAGCCTTTAATTACACATACAAAAGGTAGACCTACTTGTAGAACTTAAAAAGTTTAGGTACAAAAATGTCATACACAAAAAATTTAGATACTAAAATGTAATGTTCCAACAATATTTTGAGGACTTATGTGCCAAAAAGATAAATTTAGGTTATAAAATGTAATGTTCCATCAATAAGTTTAGATACCGAACTGTAATTTGTATAGTTAAGGCTTAATTCCTTTATGGTGATGTAATTAAGATGATAATTATTTACCTTTTTATAGAAAAATGGAAACTCTTATTTGATATGTGTAGATACCTAGCCAAACATTTCATGTATATTGTTGAAAATTCTAGCCCGGGTGAAAAAGAAAAATTTTAGAGAGAGGCAAAAGGAATACAAATGGGAACTCGCTTAAAAATTTCACACCATCAAATCTCACAGTGGAAAATAATGACTTTCTAATAAGTAATAACCATATATATATTAATTTAATTGGACTCGACATTAAGCTGAAAGGGTTAGTGATTCATGATTCAATCATTAATTCTCTAGACTGTTGGTAAGTTGTATATGGACCTATTCATACTTGTGATTAGAATACATAAAAATTGTATACTAATTAGGGTAGATGAAGAAGGCAAAGAAAGAAAGAAAGAGTTATTGAAGGCGAGTGAAAAATGAAACGAAGATGAAGTAGATGATGGAAAGGTTTTGACCAATTCTTTTAGTTGGCCGTCAATACAACAGTCAACCATTTTCACCGTAGCAATTTATTGACACTTGCTAATGAAGATGTCGCCTATTTGTTACACGTAGTTAGTAGAAGTTTGTTTACTACCCCGTAAATGTACTAATGAGTTTATAAAATCGCTCTTGTAATATTTTAGAGTCGTCTATCTTTTATCATTTATTAAATATTTCACGTAATGAGCAAATATAAATGGTCGAATCTTCTCCTACAGTTGAGTGATACAACATCTTCTATGGTACAAACTAAATTTATATTTTTTGTTATGGGGGATTGGATTCATGGATTGATTCAAAAGAATTGGTGGATTGGATTCATGGATTCAAGTGAAATCTAAACATTGGACCAATATGTAAATTTATAAAAATTGTAGGTATGAAAATCTCATAAATTTAGATACCAAAACATAATTGTTTAATAATTTTATATTAAAATTAAATTTGGGGTATCAAAATATAAAATGTATATTATATAGTGACTAAATTGTAATTTAATTAAATTTGAGGTATCAAATTGTAAAATGTACAACCGTCCAATCAACTTGCGAGTTTAGGGAACAGTAAACTCACTTATGCTTTATTGTTATGGTGGATTGAATTCATGGATTGATTCAAAAGAATTGATGGATTGAATTCATGGATTCAAATTAAATCTAAACATTGGACCAATATGTAAATGTACACAAATTTTAGGTACGAAAATCTCATAAAATTTAGATACCAAAACATAATTATTCAATGATTTTACATCAAAACTAAATCTGGGGATCTAAATGTAAAATATAGTAAGTTATAATTTGATTAAATATTGGATACCAAAATGTAAACTGTACAACCGTCCAATCAGGTTGGGAGTTTAGGTAACAGTAAACTCACTTCTGCTTTTTAGATACCAAAACATAATTATTCAATGATTTTACATTAAAACTAAATGTGGGGATCTATATGTAAAATATACTAAGTTATAATTTGATTAAATTTTGGATACCAAAATATAAAATGTAGAACCATCCAATCAGGTTGGGAGTTTAGGTAACAGTAAACACACTTCTGCTTTATATATATTAATAACTATTGATTATGCGACCAACATGCTTCAAAGTTCAAAACCTGGGAAATCGCTTCCCCCTCTCGATTAAGCTGCTTTTGTTAGTAATATGGCTTTGGTCTTTGGCGTAGAGGTGTCTGGCTTGGCTTCTTGAATCCATAGCATATGTTTGTTTGAAGTTTGTCGTCGTCGTCGAAGCGGATTCCCCATGATTAGCATTAATTAATCACTCGCCCACGGCTCTATTCGCCTTGTTCAGTGTACCGGAAAGGTTTCCGCCTTTTCATCTACAGCATTATTAAATTAAACATCATGCCAACTATAATGCTTCTCTGATTAGCACTTACTTAGCCGCACCTTTTTGCTCTGTAATAATAATCAAGCTGGGTACAGTTCAAGTTTCTACAATTCTACCTGCTACTTTCCCTTTAGTAGTTTCTACTTTCTAGGGTTCGTTTGGAAGTTGAAATTTCAAGTAATGTATTTAACCAACATATGTAATGTCAAGATTAAATCGTTTTTTAGTTAAATTTGTGACAGAATACATGTATTATCTTTTTCTGAGCTCACCTACAATCACCCAAAATGAGTGATTATCAATCTCTACCAAAAGATGAGATTGTGACCAAGAGATTGTCTCCCCTCTATTTTTTCATTTTTAACAAAGCACAATCTAAACCTCCAAACAAAGTATTTTTCAAATTTATATATTCATCAATACATCAAATTACAATACACAAATTGATTAAATACTTCAATTTGGAGAATCCAAACCTCCAAACAACCCCGTAGAGGTCTCCATCCGGTTTCAATTCAAATCGAAACCGTAACATATAAGAAAACTAACGATTTTGGTGTTTCCATATCAAATTATTTTCCAACTTTACGATTGTGGTTGTTTTAAATCGTGAAACCGATAAGAAATATACAAAAAATCAAAACGATATTATGACCGTTGTAAGTAGGAGATACTTGGTGTTCAGTTTGTTAAGACCAAACCAAAACCATTAATAGGTTTGTCGGTTTTGATTTTTGATTTTTTGGGACTCATCGAGTATCGTTTATTCCTCCATTGACGAGTCGATTAATTGAACCAAACCAAATTGACAACCTTAAGCTTCAGTGTAATCTAGAAGCTGGTAAAGAAAAACCATACTTCTTAAGCAAGAAAAAAACTCATAACTTTATGAATACGCAATTCGGTACATGTTTTCTTCAGTAATTATAAAATTTTTACATGTTTTTTTCAGTAATTATAAAATTTGTGGGACCAAGAATTAAAACGCATTATACTTGATTCGATATGTACAATGGCAATTTGATACTATGGTACAATTCAAATGCCAATTTGATATAATACGAACCGGATGATTGCACATCTCTACCTTGGTGAAAATTACATTTGAAATCACATAACCAGTTAAAAATCAATAGTAGTTAACCCATCGAAATTTACAAGCTGGGTGTGGTTCCCAAGTTACCAACCAGGGCTGATAAAATAAGGGCAAACAAAAAAGCAGTGCGAAACCAATCCCCATATTCTGCTTAGCCCCCATTTTTGTCTACTAGCTTCACGTGGCACCAAAACCAACTTCTCTGTCTCTCTCTCTCGGTCACAGACACAGTCGAAGAAGAAGTTACAGTGGCACAGTGTCAGCCACCACCAGACGTCAAAAACAAGCTATACACATTACACAATAGCCTCTCACCGTCGCCACTCAACACCACCGCCTAGTGGTAGAGCAACCGCAATCATTATCGCCAGCATTGTTGACCACCAAAACAGCGACCTCCCTTCCGCCGCGGCCGACGTCGACCTTTGGAACTGTAAGGAGTCGACGGCCAAGGGCATGTTCTCCTGGTCGGGGCTGCACTTGGACTCGTGAGGGTGGGCGCTGTACATGACCGCGCGCAGCACCGCCGAGACGGTGGGGATGTACGCCGTCTTGTTCCTCGCCAGCAGCCACGTCAGCCCCATCAGCTGGCAGTCCCTGTTGAACATCTTCTTCGCCCTGTCCTCTTCCTTCCCTCCGCCGACCCAGGACGTCTTGTTCCCGTTGGCCTTGAGCTGTAAATAATGAGACATCAGCGAAGGGCATTTCAGTAACTATTGGAAGGAAAAGAATAAGACATGGGATGGGACGAAAGAGGAAAGGGATAGTGTGAGGAAATCCTAGTGAAAGAACCAAATTGTATGGATTGCAAAAGGGAAGACAAGGTAATGAAAAAAGGGGTTCATCATAATCTGCTGCACATGGAAGGCTGGTGAATGAATGGTGTCTCAGACTCTCAGAGGGAGGGTGGTCGGTCGTTGTCTATTTTCATTTTTCACTGAGGCCACTCGCTCACCTCTGGTTTCTCTAGTTTCCTATCATCAGAAAAAGACTGGAAACAAGAGGAAGAAAGTTGTTGATTTCTCTCTCCAGTCTCCCCCCTTTCTTTTTCAACTCTGTTACTACATTTCTTCCTTCATTTCTCAATGCTCCCTTTTTATCTTTTCCTTTTCCATTTCCCCATGCCCACTCATCACCCACCATTCATCAACAGTGAAGAAACAGAGCAAAAGCCATTGAACATTCAACAAATTCAGGCTGGATGAAACCCACCTCCCATTTAACAACCGAAACAAGAAAAGGTACGAAGGGAGCCACCAACGAGCATGAGAAAAGGTTATGGGGAAGTTCTAAGTTCATATATGACTTTGGCCTTGTAATAACAATAAATCAACTGTGCAGAAAATAAGTGAATAGCAAACAACCCACCAAACCAAAGGAATGAGAATGCAGATAAAATCTAGGATAATAAATGCCAGTGCTGCTGGGGGCAAAGAATATAGCAATAAATGCGAAATTCTTTATGGGATTGGATTATAGAATATACCTTTTGGAGGGCGCCTAGGCATTTAGTACAGCCAGAGTAGGAGGAATTCCTGCAATTCTTCTCGAGGTTCTTCACCGCCGCCGTCGGGGTGGCATTGTGGAAGCCGGTGCTGACATTGAAAGCGGCCGGGCAGCTGAGGGAAGTGATCTGGTGGAGCCGAATCCCGCAGAAGCAGAGGATAGGGTCGCAGCTGGCGTTGGGCTGGGGTATCTTGACGTTCTTGCTCACCAGCGCGCTCTGCAGCGAGTTAACGCATTTCTGGGAGTCGTCGGGCATCATGGGCAGCTGGTCCTCGGCCGCAGCCGCGGCGGCGGGGGAGGCGGCGGGCACTTGGAGGGCGTACTTGGCGTGTGCGGCGAAGAGCCAGGCGGCGAGTACAGGGCAGCAGCGGCTCCGGTCTAGGTTCCGGCCGCAGGCGTCGTTGACCCCGCCGAAGAGCTCGGCGGAGAGGTCGAGACGGCAGATTTGGGAGTCGGTCTGGACGGGGAAGGCCGGGACGGTGTTTGGGTTTGGTTGATTGGGGACCGGTTCGGCTAGGAAACCCGCTTGGGAGTGATGGGTTAGGAAGGAGAGGAAGAAGAGGAAACAAAGTTTGGAAGCCATTTTTTTGAATTCTCTCTCTAGTCTCTAGTCTCTTTTCCACTACTGTTAGTTTCAGATTTTCTGGAAAGGAAATAGAGAAAGGGGGGACGGTTGCTTCTGTGGCTTTGGGATCTGACTTTCCGTAGGTGAAAAGATTAGAGAAGGAGGGGAAAAGTGGAGGAAAGCCCGGAAAATAGGTTTTTGGTATTGGGTTCTGAGCGACGTACCTCTGTGATTTGTGGTGCAGAGCTATAGCTCTACCTCACCGCTGGTTTTACCTGAGTGGACTGGAAGAAGAAGAAGAAGGAAGGGAAGGAAGGAAAAAGAGTGGAGAGGAAAGGGGAATGGGTGGGTATGTCTGTTAGAGTGACTGTGAGGGTGTAAGTTTGGTATCAGAAATTCAGAATCCAGTACTCTGAGGCGGAAAGGAAAGGACAGATTTTAGGGATGTATCATCAATTCATCATCTTGGAGATATGAGGGAGACGGAGAGGAGCAGGTGAAGGAATTCGGGGTCACATGATGACGCTCCAAGTTCACCAAGAAAAGCCCATCAGCTAATTCACTAGAAAAAGCCCATTAGGGAGAGCACAAGCGAGAGTTGTCTTATCCGAGGGAGAAAGAGGACAAGTATGATAATCCAACAAAACAAAAAGCACGAAGCAGCCAGCCAATCCGATGGAAATAATTACTCAAACAAAAAAGTCCCTTTTTTCCTGCTCAAAAGCTTCGCCATTGTATTGTAACATCTTTTGTTTTCTCATGTTTGGATTCACTTTTGCTCAAGAAAATGGGCCGGTTGTCCTCCTATTTATTTTGTTGCTTCTAATTAATAACTCATTTTTATAATATGTACACAGAAGAAACAAGATCTTACTTAATTAGTTTCTTTTATACATCAAAATGGGCAGAATCTCTAGAAAATGTTTCATGTGGTTTGTATTTTTTTTTTTTTTTAATATGGACATAATTGAAAAGTTTTCGTATGTGGCTCATGACTCATGTTATTCTCTAGAAAATTCTGTCTGTTATATCCTCTATACTTACCACTTAGACAAATACATTATGTAACTAAAAGCCCTGTTAAGCGTAGGCAGCAAGGCCATTAACTTTTAGGCTTCGGAAGTAGAAAAAGAAATATGTCTTTTGAAAAAGAGGATAGATATTAGATATGGGGGAAGAAGATGGCGGAAAAGGGTGTAATCATGATGGTGTTTCTGGAGCTAGCTGCAACTGCAACTCATGTATTTGCTTTTGGTCAGCCCAGCCAACAAGGCCAGCGACACAACACACAAGGGTTTTTTTTTTTTTTTTTGAAAAACACAACACACAAGGGTTGCAGAGTAACAGTGTAGATTGGTTTATTGACATTTCGGCTGACAAATAGTTTTATTTTGGGTTAATATTTTGTATGGCCTGAACTTTGACCAAAATAAACATTCTGATCAATTTTTTTGATCTATAACATTCTGGCTCGAATTATAGACCAAAATAAACAATTTGGCCAGATCCGACTTTTGACCGTTAACTTGGACGGTCAAACATGTTGACCGTTAGTCAACACGCCATGTCACTGCCAAGTCAGCATAAAATATTTAAAATAATTCACAATTTCCACACATTCCCTAATTTAAATAAAAATTTATCTAATACCTTAGTTAAACCAAAAATAAAAACGAAAAAACTATTGAGAAATCTTGTAATTCATATTTCTTTTTATATAATACTAGAAATTAACTACGCTTTTCACCCAAAAAAAAAAAGAAATTAACTGCGCTTTTGCTGCGGGTGATGTGCTTAGTAAAAAATGTCGACTCGAGGATCATTATCATTTAATGAGTACAATATGAATTTAGATACTTTATTGTCTAATTTTCAAATTTGGTCGCTGGGATTATTAATTTGGTTCACGTTTGCTAGTTAATAAGGAAGTGGTTAAGTATCATACATGTGTCTCTCCCAACAACTTGAGTTATTGGACCAGTTGGTTTATGACATGGTATTAGAGCTGGTTTTCTAAAACCTAAGTCTTCACAATGAGTGGTAAGGAGACTAACAACAGTAGTAGCAATCTAATCAACCGTAATGGCGACGGCGGAGGTGTTGTCCCACCTCTTGTCATCCCTGCCGCATTGAGGATCCAAGCGTCAGACAATCCGGGTCAACTATTCGTTGGTGAACTGTTGAATGATTCCAATTACGGAGAATCAATCGCGGATATGACAGAGGCTTTGATTGCAAAGAACAAACTCGACATCGTTGATGGAATCGTGGTAAAGCCAACAACTGCAGTTGAGTTACAAGTAGGGATGACAATTTCGACCTAACCCGATTTACCCGACCTGTTTGGCTTGTTTTGGGGTGGGGTGGGAATGGGTACCTCTCATTGACCCTACCTGTCCTGACCCGCCCCATTCTCGACCCGTTCTTGCCCAAATTACATGTAATCTTAATTAAATTACTTAGAATTTACCTCTTATTACATCATATATGAGGTATAATAAAGTTTTAAATAAGTGAAAAACTCAATTTCTCCAATAATTTAACTACATTTTATCATAGTATGGTTTCTTTCTTGGTCTTCTAAATAAAATAACGAATAATTCTAATATTTTTCGCATAAATTATATACCCATTGGGTTGACCTGCCCCGACCCACGCTCCATAATAAATTACCCGACCTGCCACGGGGAGGGTATGGGTATCGAGATACCCGCCCCGGACCTGCCACATTGTCATTCCTAGTTACAAGTAGCATGGCTTCAATGCGATGCCCTTGTCAAGGGATGGTTGAAAAAGCCATGGACAATGAGGTACGTAGCTCAGTTCGCTACGCCAAGACTACACGCGAGATGTGGGTCGACCTTGAGGTGCGATTTGGACGTGAATCAGTGCCTAGGGCTTAGGAGCTTCGTCAAATGATGAGTACTTTGTGACAAGAAAATCTCACGGTTTCTATCTTCTTCACAAAGTTGCGGGCAATTTGGGAGGAGATGCGAACCATCACACTTATCCCACGATGCACTTGTGTGGATGCACGTGTGAGATAGACAAGAAGGTAATGAGTAATCTGGAGAATGATAGGTTGTTTGATTTTCTAATGGGTCTAGGGGATGCGTTTGGGACTGTTAAAACATAGATTTTATCCATGAAACCAACCCCGACCCTTGGAGAGGCTTATCATCTGGTTTCAACAGAAGAACAACATAAGCAGATTGCTTCCAATCAACGACCTACTGTTGATGCGGCTGCTTTCCAAGTTCGTCAAGATCGACCTGCTCCGGATTCAAATAGACGCGAGGAGAGAGCTCGAAACACCGACCACAAAGAGCGGCCTCGTTGTAGCCACTGTCAACGTCGTTGTCATTCCAAAGCGAACTTCTACGAAATCATTGGATGGCCGGAAAGAAAACCTCGACCAAGTGAGAGGAAGAGAGTTCACGAGCCTCGTCAAGGTGAGCGAGAGAGGGAGCGCGCAAGACGACCCAACAATTCTTGTGTTGCACAGTCCTCTGCTGGTGCAGGTGTCAGCATTCCGGGACTGAACTCTGATGAAGTTCAGCAGCTCTTGGAATTCCTTAATCACAATGGTGGGTACCCAAGTGTGTCTTCGTCGTTTGACCCGCAAGTGAATATGGCAGGTACTTTTCTTTCTCGGTCTGAATTGATCATTGATTCATGATGCACTGAGTATATTACGAATGATGAATCCTTGTTAGAAAATTCTGTTGAGGTATCGGGTTACTTACCAGTTAGCATTCCGAATGGGGATAAGATACATTTAAACAAGTTGGGGAAGTCAATTTGTCAAATGACATGAAGCTTAGTTGGGTGCTCAGTCTTCCATTGTTTAAGTGCAATCTTCTGTCAGTCAGCAGGCTCATCAAGATTTCGATGTAGCCTTAATGTTTTTAGCGATTTTTGCGTAATCCAGGAGTTACACTTTAGGAAGACGATTGGGATGGGTCAACTTTGTGATGGGTTATATTACCTTCGACTGTATGGTGTTGAAGAGTCTCAGCCTTTGGTTGCTTGCATCGCCGAGGGACTAGGGGAGCTTTGCCATATTCAGCTAGGTCAACCATCATAGTAGAAGACACCTTTATTATTTTGTTCATTTCAGAAAAATGCAATAGTGAGACCTTGGATTCTTGAATGCGTGCTAAACAGACACGATTGCCATTTCCTAGGAATTTGATAAACACTAGTCGTTGTTTTGCACTCATTCATGTGGATATTTGGGACAGTTTCAAGGTCCCTACTCGGAATTCAGCTCGCTATTTTCTTACTATTGTTGATGTTTTTAGCAGAGCCACTTGGGTCTATCTTATGTCTTAAAAATCGGATGTTGAGGGGTATTTGAAAATGTTTATCAATATAGTTGCAACTTAGTTTAATCAGCAGGTGGCACGGATACATGCTAATAATGGGATGGAATTTCAGACGAGTAGTCTTCGTGATTCTACAAGGATAAGGGCATTGTTCTGCATACTTATTGTTGTACTTCTACCCCCACAGCAGAATGGGGTTGTAGAGCAAAAACACTGCCATCTACTTGAGGCACTTGTGCGCTTCAGTTTCGAGCGAACTTACCATTGAGTTTTTGGGGGATTGTGTCTTGACAACCACTTACCTCATCAACCGCTTACCCTACAAGATTATGCATGATCGTTCTCCCTACGAAGTTCACCTTGGGAAATCTCCATCGTATGCTCATCTTCGTGTCTTGGGATGTTTGGCAACAAAGACACCCATAAAGGGATTTCCAAGTTTGACGAACGTGGCATGCATTCTGTGTTTATGGGATACCCAGTCTCAGATGGGGTATCGTCTCTCTGACCTATCAACTCGAACCTTCTATGTTTCTCGAGACGTTCACTTCACCGAGACCGACATTCCGTTCCGCGAGTTCATGTCGTATTCCTCACCATTGGAAACCATTCCTTCACCGTCTCCTATGGTGGATATTAAGGAGTTCTCAACCATGTTGCATGTGGTAAGCGACGAGGTGCCTTCCCCAACGTCGAGCCTGCATGGCCATGCAGGAGTCCAACTTCCACGTCCTGTTCCTCGTTCAGCCAAGTCGAGTGAGGTCACCACGTCCGCTCGAGGTCCGGCAGCGGCGTCTCAACCCATAGGTTCGTCTTCCTCCGACAGGCCAGCTAGTCCTATTCGCCAAAGTGACCACGTGCGAGAAGTCTCTCGACGTTTGGATGGGTATGATGTTGAGTTGTCCCCATCAAATATTCAGTATCCTATGTATAATCATGTCAATTACCAAGCTTTCTCCCTGCAGCATCGCAGTTTCTTGGCCGCCATCTCTTGTCAAGTGGAACCAACTAATTTTTGTGAGGCCATTCTATATGAAGAATGACGGATTGCAATGTAGCATGAGATTGATGCTCTTATTGGCAATGAGACGTGGACCCTCGTTAGTCTTCCTCCCGGTAAGCGTGTGGTTGCTTCGAAGTGGGTCTATAAAATTAAGTTCAATGCATATGGTTTTGTTGAGAGGTACAAGGTCGGCTTAGTTGCTAAGGGCTTCACCCAGATGGAAGACATTGATTATCATGATACTTTTTCCCCGGTGGCGAAGTTAGTCAGTGTTCGTTGTTTGCTTGCCATAGCTACGGTTCGTGGCTAGGTTGCCCATCATCTTGATGTCTATAATGCTTTTCTGCATGGGGATCTCCATGAGGAAGTATATATGCAGATTCCACCGGGTTTTGCATCTCTTTGTGACTCGTGCGTCTATCGTCTTCACAAGTCCATCTATGGACTTAAACAGGCTTCTCTGAATTGGTATGCTAAGTTTGCTGCTACACTTACTAGTCTTGGGTTTACTCATTCACGTGCACATTATTCTCTA